TCCACCATGTTTCTGTTATTCCTATAATATCTGGTTTCACTTCCTGGACCAGTAGCTCTAGTTCCTCCATTTTGTTCCCTAGGCTCCTCGCATTGGTGTACAAACATCTTCATTTCTGCTGTTTCACCTCACTCACATTCTTTACCCCATTTGGCACGGACGTTGTACCTCCAATATGACCTATTAGACTAGTATCCACTCTGCCCTTCCTCCTTATGGCCATTCTCCTACCCCCGGCTATTTCCTTTCTTACTTCACTTTCCTCCCTCTCAATGCTAAAATCCGGGGTAGAGATTACCTGGACATCTCCCAACCACTGCCTGAGCCACCTATTGAGCATCATAATCCTATCACACCTTTGTTGCCCTTCTCTAGGAACAGGCAGAATCCCACTGAAGATCACCTGAGCCTCGATTTCCTTAAGCGTCCTCCCCAACCTGGCATAGTCTCCCTTGATTCGTTCCAGCAAGAATCTAGCCGTATCATTTGTTCCTGCATGAAGGATGATCAATGGATTCCTTCCCGCTCCCTTTAGGATCCTCTTCAACCTCAGTTCCACATCCCGTATCTTAGCACCTGGCAGACAGCACACCCTTCGGTTCTCTGGATCAGCTCTGGTTACAGGCCTGTCACATGAAGGATGATCAATGGATTCCTTCCCGCTCCCTTTAGGATCCTCTTCAACCTCAGTTCCACATCCCGTATCTTAGCACCTGGCAGACAGCACACCCTTCGGTTCTCTGGATCAGCTCTGGTTACAGGCCTGTCTATTCTTCTCAATGAGGAGTCCCCAATCACGTAGACCTGCCTTTTCCTGGTCTATCCCTTGTTTCCTCGGGCTGCAAGTCCTTGCCATTCCTATCTTCTCTTGTCATCTTCTTCCACCCATCCTGTATCCTCCTGGTGCTCATTGTTGGTGTCTCCATCGACTCTTCCCCTTGATGTATGGGACTAGCCACTCTCCTCTTCTTCCTTGCCTTTCCACCTTCAGTGGCCACCTGCTGTATCCCTTCTCCTTTCTCCAACTCTGCATACTTGTCCTTGAGCTCGATTTCTCCTTCACAGGCCCATCTTTTCCTCTGCCTGGTTCTCATCGTCACATGCTTCCACTGTCCATTTTCTTCGCCCAGCAGTCCCCACTCTGAGGCCTTGGATCCGGCTTCCGTCTGCATGTCCAAGCTTTCCCCTTCAGCCACCTCATGCCTTTGCCCCATCATCTGCTCGAACCCCCTTTGAAACTCGACCAGAGTTTCCACCTGCATCTCCAGTCCTCGGATCTTTCCTTCCATCAGGTCTATTAGGCAGAAATTCATACAAACCAAACACCTTTCAGGTACCCCCTCCAGAATCATGTACATACCACAGCTGCCACATCCGCTCAGTCTCACTGTGTCCTCCACGCTTGGGTCATGGCCACTGCTATCTCTGTGTTAATCAGCCTTCTCCCCTAAATCCTGTTAGTCCGGCAAACACAAAAACAAAAACACCCCCCCTACGGCAAAAACAAACCCTAAACGAGTCACACAATCCAAACTTCTCCAACAGAACTCCCACTCAAACTCCTCTGTTTACAGTTCTGTTTGCTGGCTGTTCGGCCACGGGCGCGTGAAACCGTTCTCAAGCCGATTGAGAACCGAGCACCGTGAGTCGAGATGCCGACAGGACGCCCTTGGGGCTGCCGACGCCCCTGGAAACACTTCGTGTCCCTGGGACGGCCTGTCCCGAGCTCTGGGACCGGTCTTGTCACTTCACGGGGCTGGCCTCTGTCGGGAGCAGGCAGATCCGCCTCGCAGGGGGAGGAGGGATTTTAAGACCCAGCGGTGCCCCAGACTTTCTGGTGCCCCACGCTGCTGCATGTTCTGCTCTGGGCGAGGGCAGCCCTGGCAGAACCCAGCAGCCGGGGCCGTGCTGGAAAGAGGAGGTTTCGGGGAACCGGCCCGGGGCCCGTGCTGTGTGGACCCCGTGCTCCAGGGGACACAGACGTGAGGGAGAAGCGGATTATCGGGGGGCCTGGTAACGGCAAACGGGGCAACCCGTCCCCCTCTGCATGGCAGGGCTAGGGGAGGGGGCTTGGGGAAAGGGCTGGAATGGGGGCAGAGCGAGGTGGGAGGGTCCCGGGCCCCGCACCACCCTCGGGATGGCCCGGCCAGCAGCTTGGGGTGTCTGCAAAGCCAGCTGGGTGCTGGGCACTGGGAGAGCAGGGCTGGGGGGCTGCTGGAGGGGCAGGATTGTGGGGTGCTGGGTGTGGAGGACACTGGGGGGCAGGGGCCCCATTACCTGTGGGACCCCCGGTGACGCTGCACCTCGCCAATGACGTCCTGAGTGTTAGACACCTCCCCATCCGTGAACACGAACAGCTGGGGGGGGAGACGCCCTCAGAGCCAGTGACACCCACCAGAGACACTCCCTTCCCTCAGAACCAGAGAGCCTGCCCCTCGCACCCCACCCCCCAGAGACCCGCAGACCCGTCG